CGGCCATGAAATTTAATCAAGAAGAAAATAACCACTTATGCCTACCGAACAGCAGCTACAACAACATACAATTTGTACGGAAGATTTTTCCTCATCTCAAAGGAAGAACAGAGAACATTAGCAGTAATAAAGTGAATGGAACTTTCAATATTCAAGATGCTAAAGCGAAAAGAACATAGATTCGACGATGTTCGAGGAGCAGGCTCAAGAAAAGAAATACAACAAAATAAAACTTTAATGGCTCTCCGGAACTTGACCCCATATTAGGACTAACTGATGGAAACAATTAAGTGTACATTTAATACGTTAAAAACATCATCAATCCTATGAAAAATAACAACGAACAATCACAGAACAGATGCTTCCAAACACCAGAATATTACTTTGAAACGGACGAGGAGATGAGCGAAATAAAGGGGATGGGGTCGGTTGGTGCTGCTCTACGTGTATGTTTGAATCACTGGGAATTGTTGTATGCTGTAATGGGAATTGGAGGGTGGGTATGGACTGCTGGAGTTTATTGGCTGGAAATAATTGTACGCTGATGGAAAAATGGGCTTGGGTGTTGCTGAAAATGTAATCAAGGATAAAAGCCCCTTGGTGATTATTTAAATAAGCTAGAGGTAAGGTTAGAGAATGGTTAAAATTGCAATATCAAGAAGGGCTAAATGGATTACGATTATAACCATTCAGAGTTAAAACTTAGCCAAATTGGGATTAATTGGTGAATTCGGCCAAAGTCTAAATAAGATGAATTGTTATTAATTAATTAACAAGCTTCTTAATCTTAACAAAAATAAAATAAACAATTTAATTATAAACTAACTAATTCAAATAACTCAGAATCATAACTTTAATTTATACTAAACTAAATTAATAACATAGTTAATTTTAAAAAATGCAAAATATTTCAAGATGATTTCCAAATGCTAATAATACACGTTGATTATATAAGTAATTATGTAAAATCCATCTATTATCTAAAATATTATAAAGCCGACTAAATCGCTTCAAAAATCTTTTTAAAAAATATTTAAATTTTATAAACTAATAACTCCAAATCATTTGAAATCTAAGAAGCTCGAGAATTAATATATATTGTGGAGGTCCAAAAATGGGTGTCAACATTAGGTTACACCAAAAATTATCAAATTAAAGCACACCTTTTTTATTGAATCATATACAATTCATATATATAATTGTCATAGTAATTTTATACAACTACTTACACTTATTTATGGTATAATAATTGTATACAATTACTTACATATATACAATATTACCAATTAAACAATATACAAATCGTATAACTTATTTATACAGTAAAATTACAACAACAACAACAACAAAAATTAGCAAATTAAAGCACACCATTGTTGTCGAATCATATACACTTCATATATACAAATTGTGTCATTCAATTTTTTGAACAAAAAATTAGAATTGAATTGTTAATATAAAATTTATCTAATATTGTATAAACAAAATTAAATTATTGCGAACCATTAGAATGAACAAAACAAAAATAATCCGTTTTCCAAAATTTCAATTATATACTATACAAATCAATTGTATACTTTCTTGCCGTTCAAAACATGAAGTTTCCTTGAAAGAAACGCTTACCTGGTGTTGAATATACAAGAATATTGATTAATCGTATGCTTCAGTCGTTTGAGGAAACCAGCTGTTATGGTGTTTCTATTGCTATAGAACTCTTTTTTGGAAAAATATTTGATTTTGAACGATTAGCTTGAATCATGGGATTATGTAAATTTTTTGTTACTGTATTTAGCGCTCATGTATCCATTTATTAAAAAAAATATTGTATAAATTATTTTTAAAAAAAACATTATATACAAAATTAATGCTTCATAGCAAACTAAACTACCCATTGAATGTAATTACTAAACTATACCTATAGAGCGTTATTTCATTAAATACGTTTTCCATACATGAAATTTTCCCTTAAGAGATCCTACACCTTATATATAGCTTCTCAAATGTGGAAATTCAATCTCACACCCAACAATCTTTCCCTAAGACTAAGTTTCATGGGCCAATATCACAATGATCCACGAGTCAATTCATGAGATTCACAATGTGCGTCACCCACATTGTCTAAGTATTTTATGGCAATCAAACCCTACAACTAGCTTCTCTTCTTTATATATATATATGTGTGTGTATGTGTGTGTGTGCGCGCGCTCGCGCATCTCTAATTAATCTCGTAAAGGGATTAAGGGGCCAATTTAAAAGAATTAGGCGATTTTTTCAATTTTTCGTGTGTGTTAATCCATAAATATTTTGGTGATATGATTTCTGAATGATTTCTTTTGCGAAACTTATATGGAACCCTTCGTAGGGAGTTAGTCTCACAATTTTTAGAGTCCATTTTAGGTATCCCACGGCTAATTTATAGGAAATAGGTGATCTTCTCAATTCGTCTGTATTAGCCCATGAATATTTTGGTGATAAGTCTTTCGAATAATTTCTTTGTGAAATCTTTACGGAACCCTCCATAGAGAGTTAATGGAGCAATACGTATAGTCTCACAATTTTAGAATTCCAATTTACAGGAATTAGGCGACTTTCTCAGTGTTTTGTATGTGTTAGCCCATTAATATTTCAGTGATATGACTTTCAGACGATTTCTTTGCTACACATTTACGAAACCCTCTGTAGGGAGTCGGGGGAGCAGTATGTACAGTCTCACAACTTTTAGAGTCCATTTTAGGCATTTAGGGGCCAATTTAAAGAAATTAGATAATTTTCTCAGTTTGTCGTGTGTGTTAACCATTAATATATTAGTGATATGACTTATGGACGATTTCTAATCGAAATCTTTACAAAACCCTCAGTAGGGAGTTGGGGGAGCAATACGTACATTCTAACAATTTTTAGAGTCCATTTTGGGTATTTAAGGGACAATTTACAGGAATTAGGCGATTTTCTCAGTAGTTTTTCATGTGTTAGCCCATCAATATTTTGTTGATTTGACTTTTAGAGTCTAAACTTCTCTTGTATATTAAGAGATATTTATGCTTGGTTAATTGAATCGAACTAGGAATAGAGAAATTCCTACTTGGATCTTAATATTTCTCTCTCTTTGATTTGGAAAATTCTACTAAGTAGCTTTCAATGGAATTAAAATCATCAATCTCTTGTATGTAAGAAACATACTTATATGGGAAAAGGGCCTGATTTACCCCTCAACTTTATGATTTGGAGCTGATATACCCTCCGTTTAAAAAATGGCTCATATATGTCCCTGCCGTTATAGAAATGGCCCATATATGCCCTTTTATTTAACAGACCAATATTTAATAAATTAAATTTCATTTTTTTATGCTTTAATTTGAGAAAATGCCACATCGCTCTTAAAATACCCCACCCAATAACTTTTCACCAACCCGACCCAATTGAAAACAAGAAAACCCCACCCACTTAAATAAACTTTAACCCATTTAATTCTATGGTCTCCACTCTCCACGCTCAACAAGAAAAAAAATCAAAATGTTGGTAGGTTTCGGTGAGCTCTAAATTGGCGTCAATCAGTCTCAATATTGTTCAAAATCTTATGTAAGTTTCGATTACTTTCTTCCCTTTTCTTTTAAGGACCTTTGGTGTTAGAGTTATAGGGTAAATTTGTTCTTGATATTCTTTGCTTGAAGTGATATTCTTATGTGTTTTATTTTGTCCATTTAATGATGCAGGAAATGGGCATATTGAATTGGTTAAATTGTTTCTACCGATAGGTGTAGACGTTGATTTGCGAAGTGATGTTGATGTTGGAACACCATTAATATGCGTTGTAGACCGCAGCCAGGAAGATGCTATTACGGTTTTGCTAAAACACCATGCTAATTTTGATGCTCAAATAGGAGATGATAATATGTGTCCTCTGCTAGCAGTTGCGGCAGTTCATTCTTTCGTTGTGTGGTAAAGGCAGGGGATACTGTCAGTGATAATTACATGCTAATACATCTTGCAGCTACAAGTGAAAATCAAGAGTCTGCTGAAGTTTTATTGGCCGTCACACCACATATTCAGAGTGTTCGCGAACGAACTGTGGACGGAGTCATTGCGTTTATGAAATCTTAAAATTCGAGAGAAAAGTTTGAAGTTATTTTACATTCAGTTGCTTAGTTGGGTTCTTTTCTTCACTCACTGAGGCAAAAAGTTTGTAAAATTTGGAAATATAGTAGTACTTTGTAGGATCATATCTTTTCTGGGAATTTAAATGATAGATTCCAAGGCCATATTATGCGACTAAACTTTTTCATCTCATTTGCAGTTTTGTGACTTATGTGTAATTAACTTTTGGTTCATTGTATTGATTTATGACAACTTTTGATTCACCTTATTTGGTCTTGTGTAGTGATTTTGTCAACTTTTGTATTATTTAGTAATGAAAGAGAATCAAAAGCTCGAGGTAAAATGATAGAGAATCATCAATGACTCCTTGACATTCCACGTTGAATCATCTGTGAGCTATCTACTAGTTCAAAGAAGATCGTGAACAATGCTAATTTTAGTCGTAATTTAAACAACGCTACCAATCAAAGCACATAAATTTACTCTCTCACACAAAATACAATCAACAATAATTACACCAGATGCAGTAGAATATAATTCTCAATTTTTATAAAATTATCTTAACACAAGTTACCAGCAAAAGAAGATTAACCTTCTGGTGGTTAAACCAACCACAAATATCTATTATATGGTTAGCAACAAAAGAAATTGTTTGGATTTACATCATATAATACTATCCAAAATAACCACCTAATGTCAAAAAATGATCAACCACACAACGACTTCTAAACTAGATCATCATTAGTATCCACGGGCCATTTGCCCTTCATTGCCATTTGTTTCACTCTTTTCTTCTTTACTTCAGCTTGTAACTGATCAATTGTGACTGCTTTCTTGCCCTTTCAAGTAGTCTTCTTTGGTGAATATGGTAGATCCGAAGGGGTCGAGATTCCTCTTGCATCCCCTTAAAAAACAATCTTCCTGCTTCCTATTCCTTCAAATATTCGAGACCTCTTTTCCATCCTTGTTTCTGTCTCAAAAATTACCATTGGTCGCAATGCTGGATCTTCATCATTCCCGATCTTAGGACCATAGGCAGTCGACTGTTTTGTCTGAAATTGTTGGGGTGAAGCTTCTGTCTCATACTCTACAATAGAGTTTTTTCTTGCTCAACTCCTCGACTTTTGATTGCTTGCTTTCTTATTTCTTTCATGCTAACTTTCACCGTCTTCATGGTCCTTCAACCCAAAAAAATTGTTGTGATTGACAAAAATGAACACCTTTTAACTAAAAGAAAATATTAAGAGAGATTACCTTATAACATCCCTTAGCATTGTGATTGAAATCACCACATTTGTTGCATCTCATTAGAGTTCCTTTTCTTGACTGCTTCCATGCCCCCTTTCTCAAACTTGCCTCATCAGTTTCTTTATTTCTTTTCATCTTGGGTCTGCCAACAAGTTTTACCATTTTCGGAGGTTCCATTGCTTGAGCATGGTCGATTTTCCAGAATTGAGAACCCCTAACTGGTTGCAACTTGTGCTTGTATGTTAACAAATAAGCCTCTTTTTATAGCAGTAATGAACCTCTTCCAATGGTTCAGTTTTTTTATGCAAAATTGCCTTGATGGTATGGTGACACGGTATTCCACCCAAGTCCCATAATCTACAAATGCATTTCTTCAACTCCAAATTCACTGTATGTGTGTCCGTGTCTCCATCTTTCACTTCATAACCATAATCTCCATTGAACTCAACTGTACCATTGGTAGCCATTAATCGATAGTCATTGTACAATTTCATAACCGTTGGACTGATATCATTTTGCCATTTTCTGCCCATTTTTTCATTTTTCACCAACATATTCATCACCTTCACTCTAATTTCCTCCAACATTTTAATGATTGGTTTTTTCTAGCTTCAAGTATCCAACTGTTAAAAGACTCGGTGAAGTTATTGTCTACCATTAGATTCTTACATTGAGTATCAAAATATGCCCTACACCATTTAATTACAGGAAAATGAAGAAGATCACTAGCTGAATCTTCATCCACCTTTCCTAACACCTTCAAAGTGTCTTTGAATTCTTCTTCATAGGTACTCCATGCACACCACCACATCAATTTTTTCTCTTCACCACTCCGCCATTTCTTGCACCAGTTAGATTCTATATGCCTCACACAAAGCCTATGGTGTGCTTCTGGAACAACATTAGCTACAACATCGAACAGGCCCTAAAAATCGAAAAGAAAAAAATGACAGTAAGAAAAAAGATAAAGAAAAGGCAATAAGAAAAAAATAAATTTAAAGCTACCTTTTGCATATCAGACATAAATGTCACAATTTCACCATTTTTCAACTCCAACGAAATCCTCAACAACTGAATAAACCATGTCCATGTTCCTGTGTTTTCCTTTTCCACCACTGCCCAAGCTATTGGGTAAAAATGATTCATTGAGTCTTGCCCAACAACTACTAATAGTTGCCCCTTGCATTTTCCTTTGAGAAATGTTCCATCTAAACCAATTATAGGTCTCAAACTTTTCCATCCATCCTTCAAAGCCTTGAAGCAAATGTACATTCTCAAAAACCTTCTTATGCCTTGTTCAAGTGCATCTTTAGAGATATTAATTACCACATCAGATCCTGGTTTTGATTGTCTAAGTTCTTGACCATAAGCTTCAAGCCTATTGTAGTCATCTTTGAAACTGCCTTCCAACTTATCAAGAGCCATTGTTTTGGCTCTTTTTAGTTTGGATCTTAAGACATTCAACTTGAATTTTTTTTCAAGAATTCCTCTCATGTCTTTGATAGGGTATTTTGGATTGTTTAGAACTTCATCCTTAAAATAAACAGCCAAGGTATGATAAGTTTCCAATGGATTAACAAAAGAATCACCACAAGTATGCTTAGGCATCAATGTTTTAACCTTAAATGTTGCTGATTTTCCATCCTTAGATATGAGAAGAGTAAAAGGGACAACCATCATAACACTCATACCTAATTCTTTTTGTATCACTTTTTTTTGTTTTCAACTTCTTTTGTTAGCCATAGCATAAAAGCTAACAACCTGCCTAGGTTCTTCAATAGTCTTAAAGGTCATACCCATTTCTAATTCCTTAAACTTTTCAAGTCCATCACTCACAACTCTCTCTTTTTCATGTTCATAACGTTGAAGCACTTCAACATTATATTCAACAATTTCACAACTGTTGCCCATTTCATAAAGAGTATCATCCTCCACATCACTATAATCACAATCAGTAGCAGCTTCAACATCCACAAAATATGATTCAGTATGATATATGATATTTGTGGCAGAAACTCTCAATTCATGAGCATCTACAACATAAAAATCTATTACCTTGAAATCTTCTGAAAATAAGTATTGAAGAGTCTTAATTCCATCATTATCTTCAATTACATAATAAGTACCAGATGGACCAGTGACCAACAATTGTTGAACTTCCTTAAATCCAAATTTGGAAGTAAAAGCTTCACACAAATCATCATAACAAACTAAACAAGTATTATAATACCAGGTGTGCTGAAATTTTATATTGTATCCCAGCTTTGGGGAAATTACCCTATTGCCCCCATAGTTGAAAACAATATCCACTTCTTTAATCATCCTTCAAAATGACACCTGCAACAAGCAAATAAATTAGACATAAGGGACCACCTTAGCATTTAACACCAACCAATTGAAAAATGAATTTTAAAATACTAAAGAGACAATAACTATTTGGGGACCAACAAAGATTCCATCTCTGCATACAAAGAGATAAACTCATGTATTAAAGTAAGAAAATAAACCTTCCATGGACAGAATGTCAAGGGAAAAAAGCACATAGGTAAACTCAGTTACACTTTTCTCACATATTATCCTATATTTTTAACACCAAAGATCCTTAAAAGTAAGGGAAGAAAATAATCGAAACTTACCTAAGATTTTGAACATTATTGAGATTGATTGACACCAGTTTAGAGCTCACTGAAACCCTAACAAGTTTTTGATTTTTTTTCATGTCAAGCGTGGAGAGTGGAGACCATAGAATGAAATGGGCTAGGTTTATTTAAGTGGATGGGGTTTTCTTGTTTCCATTGGGTCGGGTTGCTGAAAAGTTATTGGGTGGGGTATTTTAAGAGCCACGTGGCATTTTCTCAAATTAAAGCATAAAAAAATGAATTTTTAATTTATTAAATATTGGTCTGTTAAGTAAAAGGGCATATATGAGCCATTTCTATAACGGCAGGGGCATATATGGGCCATTTTTTAAACGAAGGGTATATCAGCTCCAAATCATAAAGTTCAGGGTAAATGAGGCCCTTTTCCCTACTTATATTCATGAATAGATAAGTGTAAGGTATAATAATGAATGGTCACAATTTTTTCAACTTTTTCCAGTTAGAATCCTGTCTTTTTTTCTTTTTCTTTTTTTAAACTTTGGTCTCTGCTTTTGTCTACATGATGATAAGGTTGGTGGACCTAGCTGGAAATGTGATGGAAATAGCCTAGTAAAAGAAAGAAGTTTGCATTTTCTGTTTTCTTAAAAACTGAAAAATTACATGACTTGTGGCAATTTGTCCATTTTCATACTGAGAGATATTTCTATTTTTTGGATATATGGCTTATGCTGCTGTTACTTCCCTTATGAGAACCATACATCAATCAATGGAACTTACTGGATGTGATTTGCAACCGTTTTATGAAAAGCTCGAATCTTTAAGAACTATTCTGGAGAATTCCTGCAATATAACGGGCGATCATGAGGAGTTAACAATCTTGGAAGTTGAAATCGTAGAGGTAGCATACACAACAGAAGATATGGTTGACTCGGAATCAAGAAATGTTTTTTTAGCACAGAATTTGGAGGAAAGAAGCAGGGCTATGTGGGAGATTTTTTTCGTCTTGGAACAAGCACTAGAATGCATTGATTCCACCGTGAAACAGTGGATGGCAGCATCGGACAGCATGAAAGATCTAAAACCACAAACTAGCTCACTTGTCAGTTTACCTGAACATGATGTTGAGCAGCCCGAGAATATAATGGTTGGCCGTGAAAATGAATTTGAGATGATGCTGGATCAACTTGCTAGAGGAGGAAGGGAACTAGAAGTTGTCTCAATCGTAGGGATGGGAGGTATCGGGAAAACAACTTTGGCTACAAAACTCTATAGTGATCCTTACATTATGTCTCGATTTGATATTCGTGCAAAAGCAACTGTTTCACAAGAGTATTGTGTGAGAAATGTAATCCTAGGCCTTCTTTCTTCGATAAGTAATGAACCTGATGATCAGCTAGCGGACCGACTGCAAAAGAATCTGAAAGGCAGGAGATACTTGGTAGTCATTGATGACATATGGACTACAGAAGCTTGGGATGATATAAAACAATGTTTCCCAGACTGTAATAATGGAAGCAGAATACTCCTGACTACTCGGAATGTGGAAGTGGCTGAATATGCTAGTTCAGGTAAGCCTCCTCATCATATGCGCCTCATGAATTTTGACGAAAGTTGGAATTTACTACACAAAAGATCTTTGAAAAAGAAGGTTCTTATTCTCCTGAATTTGAAAATATTGGGAAACAAATTGACATTAAAATGTGGAGGGTTACCTCTAGCAATTACTGTGATTGCTGGACTTCTCTCCAAAATCAGTAAAACATTGGATGAGTGGCAAAATGTTGCGGAGAATGTAAGTTCGGTGGTAAGCACAGATCTTGAAGCAAAATGCATGAGAGTGTTGGCTTTGAGTTACCATCACTTGCCTTCTCACCTAAAACCATGTTTTCTGTATTTTGCAATTTTCGCAGAGGATGAACAGATTTATGTAAGTGAACTTGTTGAGTTATGGGCTGTAGAGGGGTTTTTGAATGAAGAAGAGGGAAAAAGCATAGAAGAGGTGGCAGAAACATGTATAAACGAACTTGTAGATAGAAGTCTAATTTCTATCCACAATTTGAGTTTTGATGGGGAAATAGAGAGATGTGGAATGCATGATGTGACCCGTGAACTCTGTTTGAAGGAAGCTCGAAACATGAATTTTGTGAATGTTATCAGAGGAAAGAGTGATCAAAATTCATGTGCACAATCCATGCAGTGTTCCTTTAAGAGTCGAAGTCGGATCAGTATCTATAAGGAGGAAGAATTGGCTTGGTGTCATAACAGTGAGGCTCATTCTATTATCATGTTGCGTTTATTCAAATGCGTCACACTGGAATTGTCTTTCAAGCTAGTAAGAGTACTAGATCTTGGTTTGACTATATGCCCAATCTTTCCCAGTGGAGTACTTTCTCTAATTCATTTGAGATACCTATGTTTGTGTTTTTATCCTTGCGTACTGCAGTATCTAAGATCGAAAGAAGCTGTTCCCTCATCAATAATAGACATTCCTCTATCGATATCAAGCCTATGCTATCTGCAAACTTTTAAACTTTACTCTCCATTTACCTGTAAAGTAGGTTATCCTTTCATATTACCATCGGAAATTTTGACGATGCCACAATTGAGGACGCTGTGTATTGGCTGGAATTACTTGCGGAGTCATGAGCCTACAGAGAACAGATTGGTTTTGAAAAGTTTGCAATGCCTCAATCAATTGAATCCTCGGTATTGTACAGAGTCTTTTTTTAGACTATTTCCCAATTTAAAGAAGTTGGAAGTATTTGGCGTCCGAGAGGACTTTCGCAATCACAAGGACCTGTATGATTTTCGCTACTTGTATCAGCTCGAGAAATTGGCATTTGGTTTTTATCATCCATATGATGCTTGCTTTCTAAAAAACACTGCACCTTCAGGTTATACTCCGCAAGATCCTCTGAGGTTTCAGACGGAAACATTGCACAAAGAGACTGATTTTGGGGGAACTGCACCTCCAACTGATGTTCCAACTTTACTCTTACCTCCTCCGGATGCTTTTCCACAAAACCTTAAGAGTTTAACTTTTAGGGGAGAATTCTCTTTGGCATGGAGGGATTTGAGCATTGTTGGTAAATTACCCAAACTCGAGGTCCTTAAACTATCAGGCAATGCCTTCAAAGGCAAGGAGTGGGAAGTAGTTGAGGAAGGGTTTCCTCACTTGAAGTTCTTGTCTCTGGATGACGTATACATTCAGTACTGGAGAGCTAGTAGTGATCACTTTCCGTACCTTGAACGACTTTTTCTTAAAGATTGCTATTCTTTGGATTCAATCCCTCGAGATTTTGCAGATATAACCACACTTGCTCTTATTGATATAAGTAAATGTCAACAATCTGTTGGGAATTCCGCCAAGCAAATTCAACAGGACATTCAAGACAACTATGGAAGCTCTATCGAGGTCCATACTCGTGAGCTTTTGTAAGACATCTTCTTCCTTGATTTACAAATTACAATAATATTTGTTGAGATTATAATGTATGATGTATGTATATATATGTATAGTACAGCTGGTAGTTAATAGTGTTGTATAGTACAGCTGGTAGTTAATAGTGTTGTATAGTACAGCTGGTAGTTAATAGTGTTGTATAGTACAGCTGGTAGTTAATAGTGTTGTATAGTACAGCTGGTAGTTAATAGTGTTGTATAGTACAGCTGGTAGTTAATAGTGTTGTATAGTACAGCTGGTAGTTAATAGTGTTGTATAGTACAGCTGGTAGTTAATAGTGTTGTATAGTACAGCTGGTAGTTAATAGTGTTGTATAGTACAGCTGGTAGTTAATAGTGTTGTATAGTACAGCTGGTAGTTAATAGTGTTGTATAGTACAGCTGGTAGTTAATAGTGTTGTATAGTACAGCTGGTAGTTAATAGTGTTGTATAGTACAGCTGGTAGTTAATAGTGTTGTATAGTACAGCTGGTAGTTAATAGTGTTGTATAGTACAGCTGGTAGTTAATAGTGTTGTATAGTACAGCTGGTAGTTAATAGTGTTGTATAGTACAGCTGGTAGTTAATAGTGTTGTATAGTACAGCTGGTAGTTAATAGTGTTGTATAGTACAGCTGGTAGTTAATAGTGTTGTATAGTACAGCTGGTAGTTAATAGTGTTGTATAGTACAGCTGGTAGTTAGTTAGAAGATTCCTTTCAGTTAGTTTGTTACAGAGCATTAGTTTTACATTTCTTGTATAAATACTCATTAGATCAATACATCCAAAGCTAAGCTTTGCATTTTACATGAACAGTTCTTTTCTTCTTCATCACTGATGATAACTGCTTGTATCCAAAGCTCCCTTTGAT